TGCCCAAATTAATCCACTTGTCAAAACCAACTGTCCCACAATTTCAAGAAATATAATAGAAAATATGACCTAAGAACTTCATAAACTAGAAAAAGAACGGAAAAATTAAAACATCTTGAAAATCCAAGATGATGATGCATGGTATATACCGTGGGAAAGGTTTAAATTGAGTCGTAAATGCTTCCAGGAATCAGAAGACTTCAAGGGAACTTTTTTACAACAAGAATTCTACGGGATTATAGTAAAATCCTTCGGTCCTCGTACATCTTTTGAATGAAATATTCCGATTTTACTAGTGAAAGTAAGACGCCCTTTTTTCAACCTATCGTATTGCCATTTTTCGGATCACAGTGACACTCAAAAAAGGAGTCATTTTCCAGTCAGCTAAAAGCCGCCCTGTTCTTTAATAATAGTTTAAAAAGAAAATCTATGCGGAACTTGATATGTAACTGGCCACATGCAGAAACAGAGGAGTCAATTTCGACCACAGGGTGCCCGACTATGTCCTATTTATATATACCTTTTTTATATATCAATATCTCTGTATCAATATGGATATTAATCCTCTGTATATTATTTAATCCCAAACATAATCTCTATACAGTTACATTAAAGCGGTCAGTGCAGAAACGCGCGTGAATACAGTTATATCAAAGCGGTCAGTGTATTCACGCGCGTTTCTGCATTGACCGCTTTAATGTAACTGTATAGAGATTATGTATGGGATTAAATAATATACAGAGGATTAATATCCATATTGATACAGAGATATTGATATATAAAAAAGGTATATATAAATAGGTCATAGTTGGGCACCCTGTGTTTCGACCAGAAAAATAGCGTTCGAAATCCCAGTTGGTTATTTGTGAAACGTTCGGCATTTCACTTCAGTCTAGCAATGAAGATAGTGTCGAGCAATCAAGATAGTGCCTCGTATGGATTATTGCCTCCACTAGGAGGTAATGTTTTCTTTCGCGTTTGTATGTGTGTGTCCGCATGTGCGTGTGTGTCTGCCACGACAACTGACTTTAAAAATATTAAACGTATTAAATACAAAAATTTGTGAGAATATTAACGACATTGCCCGAGAACAAATTGAAGTTATACATTGGATTAAAATGGGATGAGAAATTAGCAATAAGTTTGTCTTGATTCGCCGGGCAGAATAAACTGAATACATAACTTAATTAGCCCACGACAACAAACTTATAAGCCCACGACAACATTAGCCCACAACAACAAACTTATAAGAATAGAAGCTGAGGTATGTAAAGCACGATCTAATTACGAAAGGAAAATTGAAAATTTAAATAATAAATGTCATGATTTATTACTTAAACTTGAATGTAACAAGGCACTCGAAGATAAAGTAAAGCCCCATTTACATGAGCAAATTTTATTTGACAAATTTCATATGTCAAAGACATTTTGCTCGTGTGGATGATGCATTTGTGACAAATTTATTGTGACAAATGCATTTGAACAAAAGCTAGCATGCTAGCTTTCGATCAAATGCATTTGTCATATGAAATTTGTCAAATAAAATTTGCTCGTGTAAACGGGGCTTAAAAAACTTGAAGTTTTGGTTGGCAATCTTAAAGCAGACATACAGGATCTACGAAATGAGAATGGTTTGTTCAAATCGAAGCCACGGTTGTTTAAAAACTCCACGCCTAAAGTACAGGGTGTCTCAAAAAAACCGCTACCCTTAGAAATTCACCATTGTTCTAATTTGAATGCCTGAACCTTGTTGAAGCCATGAATGCGTAAACATTTTCACAGGATGCATATATTAAAGATCCTCGGAATTAAAATATCCTTGAAAAGCGAAATTGTTTATCCTGGGAATTGAAAGTAGGTTCATACAAAAGTATAACTGCAAGAAAATCGTTCAATTACATATTAGTGAATGTCAAGCAAATGGCTCAACTGAGCACAGAGCAAAGAGTATTTATTGTCTTATTGTCCATTCAAATTGTTCATGCACCCATGAGTTCAAGATAGCACTCAGGCATTCAAATTAGAACAATGGTGAATTTCAAAGGATAGCGGTTTTTTTGAGACACCGTGTACAACAAAAAAACACCGGGAACAATGACCTAGACTTAATTAATACAATTAACATTCCTGATGAACCGATAACTATTGTTGAAAAACAACCCCAGGATTTAAACAAAAATTTAGAGTTAAACACCTCTCTCTCAGTTGGCAATAAGACTTCTCGGGCCGACAAAGGATCGGCGTACAATCCTCAGATGAATTCCGGCAGTTATTGAATGTATTGAGGCAAGAAATCAACCTAGAAGCGATCCACCGAGAGGGCCACATACGAGCAAAGTTACCAAACGTAATTCCGCTATTTCCAGCAAACCTTTGCCCAAGCACTTAGTACCTTGCCCATTTCTAAGACGGAGAGGCTTTTGCCTAAAGGGTCCCTTGTGTGACTTCCAGCACAAAAATTCTCAATCGTCCAATAACCCGCCGAATAACCCGTCCTATTGTTCGTCCAATAATCGACCAAGAGTGTCTAATAACCTACAGCGATACCCTCATAACTTGGGCTATACATCTTATCCAAATATATCACAACCTATTACTAATCATTTTCCTTTTCCTGTGAATCCAAGCCATTTCCCCCCGTTTCAACCCCCACAGTATCATCCAATGCTTCGACCATATGTATACCCACCACATCGTTATATGTTGACATCAATATAACTCCTATTATATATGTTGACATCAATATAACTCCTTTAACGCCCTCCTGTCGTGCTCCCCTCAGCACCACCTACAATAACGTTTACTAGCATGCCCTTGATTGTTCTAAATCGTCCTCGAAAAGTGAAAAGCAACATTTCAAATAAAAAACATTGTGTAAATAGAAATAATCTGATACACATTCAAACCAAGAAAGCCATTCCTGGGACTCGGGCACATTTCAAACTCAGGTTAAACATCTTAAAACCGCTGATCCATCGAAATGGTGGAAAGCCGTAAAAAATCTGGCAGGCTACACTTCAGATAAGTCTTTTCATTCTGTGATCAATGACAACCGACTATTAGAAGGTAAAAACCTAGCAAACGCTATCAATGAATCATTTGTTACTGTTAACAAGTCTATGCCCCCTCTTTCCGAATTCGATAAACAATTCCTTATAACGCCTTGCGAATACCACATTCCAGTCGAACTAATTGAACGTCGCTTAAGGCCGGCGCACACTAGAGCTATGTGCTTAGTAGCCTGCGAACAGGCTCACTGGGAGAAAGGTGAGCCTGCACGGAACCATGCGTTTTATTCAATCATCCCCTTTTCGCATCTGCTAAACGCGAACCAATCAGCGTCGACTGCGATAAATAAACTGTCAACTGTCAAATTGACGCAAGGCGTGTACATTATTGTACAACGAAGAAGTACTGAATATTAAAATGTATACATAATGTTATGTGAACAATAATACAAAGCATTAGCGGGCCGCACAATATATTACTCGGAAAAAATAGAATTCTTCAAATATTAAATAGATATCAATACACATACAAATATAAAGCCGAATAAAATACTACCATTGGCATTGAATGTACAGTAATACTTGTACTATATGCGACTGAAAGAACAATGTTCTGAATATTTGAAGCTATTTAATACTAAAATACGATCAGATAGATTGGGGTTTGGAATACCAAATACGTCTAAAATTTTACTAACTGTGGTCTAAATAAATGATAAATGAGCATGTATTTATTAAATTCTTCGAAATCACGAGTGTGCCAATAGTGGAAGCCGTATCGACGACGAAATTGTCAGCAGTTTATACAGTTAATAGTACAACGTTTAATGTACGATATATATTTATCTAAATGACATGCCAGCGAGGATCAACAATATAATTATTCGTACATATTTGGGTATCTTTTGTATGCCTTCGCTTGCTGACTTGCTCACTAATGAGAATAATCCGTGAAGCCACGACGACCTCAAAATGTAGTACTATAGTCTGATGTCAATCCGAAGACGAAGTTCAGAATACTGTTATAGTATTGAATTTAAGCGATAGATTCAAGGCATTTATGATATACTTTTTTGCTGTGATGCTTTGCTATTTACGGAGCCCCATAAGGGCCATAGATTTATCTGCTTCTTTTTTTTTAAATTCCGACTTTTTTTTTGAATTCCGACTTTTTTTTTCGAATTCCGACTTTTTTTTTTGAATTCCGACTTTTTTTTTCGAATTCCGACTTTTTTTTAAATTCCGACTTTTTTTTTCGAATTCCGACTTTTTTTTCGAATTCCGACTTTTTTTTTAAATTCCGACTTTTTTTTAAAATTCCGACTTTTTTTTAAAATTCCGACTTTTTTTTAAAATTCCGACTTTTTTTTAAATTCCGACTTTTTTTTTCGAATTCCGACTTTTTTTAGAATTCCGACTTTTTTTAGAATTCCGACTTTTTTTTAAAATTCCGACTTTTTTTTAAAATTCCGACTTTTTTTTAAAATTCCGACTTTTTTTTAAATTCCGACTTTTTTTTTCGAATTCCGACTTTTTTTAAAATTCCGACTTTTTTTAAAATTCCGACTTTTTTTTCGAATTCCGACTTTTTTTTTCGAATTCCGACTTTTTTTTTTAATTCCGACTTTTTTTAATTCCGACTTTTTTCGAAGCTAAATATATTTGTCAGCCATGAGTGTCAAGTTGACAAGATGGAAGCCTCGATAGAAGTAGAAGCGAACAGCGAAGCTAGCCAGGTAATATTAATTTCATCATATTTGCATGCATGTATTGTCTTCGTAGTATAAATTAGTAATAATATGTATATATAATTGTACTATAGTTTATATAAAGTACGTACTGCGGATTCAGGTTGAGTGTTTAATGACGTCACGATCAGGTGAACGTTCCAACAGATAAACGCGGGTGTTGTCAAGTGGCAAATTATATGTTGCTAAGGGCGGGAAGGCATTTTGTTCTTGTGTTGTTTACACGTGTTCGCATTTGTCAGAGATGGATAACATAATCGAAATTCAGTTTGACTACCTTTATTATTCTAAGCGAAGGGTTACCCCGTTATTTATTAGTACGGATGAGTTATTGTCTTACAGTTACGATGGATTTTGCTCTCGAATGTTACAAGAAGTTCCTCATATTGCGAAGATGCTGCTGCCAGCCGAATCGTTGCGAATGATTTTGGCGGAAGATAATCGACCAGAAATTGACTTGTCTCACAAGTACTTTCAGTCCCAGATAGCACGACTGGTAAATAAAGGACTAAAAACAATCGTCATTCTTATTGCCGAAAATGAGTCACCGCTACCTGCACAGCCAACACAGTCATCGAACAGTACGTGTAAAAGCCAACATTTGACAGGACAATCTCGAAGCAGACGTTGTCTATATGTATCTCAAAACGTCGCACAAAACAACGTTGATAAACAAGGAAACCTAAAGATTTTGTGTGTGAATGACAACAGCTATAATCTTGGTTGTAGTACCACTATAAATTCAAGTCCTGAACCAGTTTTACCTTTAGAACGACACGTGAAAAGATACGAGGAAATTATTCAAAACATTGACAAAGAATTAACGGTGAAAAAAATTGAACTCAAAGACCTTGATAACAAGCTTGAAAGGGCAAACATGCAAAACACTGGGCATCTTTCAACATGTGGAAATTGCCATTTAAAATTAGGACACACCAGAAAATCATGCCATTTCAGTCCATGCAAATCTGCATTTTCGTGCGGGATACTTTCAAAGCACGCGAATCAAAAATCTAATCGAGCAAACATTAACAAAGACGTAGAAAAACTAGAAAGCCAGTTACGAAAAGCAAAACATGATCTAGAAAGTGCGAAATCGGCCGTGGAAAGAACAAATAACTCTGCAGATAAAAGAATCGAGGACATCATTCTAAATGAACAGCCTCACAGATATAGTACATCTTGTGGGCGCAGAAATTGGCTAATTTTGAACAAGGATGTTGCCCTTTTGCAAAGCAAATTAAAGGGTACTCTCCCAACTCGGAAAAACGTTCTGAGTCTTTTACATTCGGTTGTAAACAAAGAATCACAAATGACACACGGCTACATCCTCGGCTACATCAACTCAAACACGGCGAGATACTGATCACAGGATGGCCCCCCAAAAGAGAGTTCTTGAAGAACAATTTTCTATCCAATTTCCAACAAAGAGACAAAACAGTGCCGCAAGCAGTAACCCTATATTTGTACATAGTCAAGAAAAAGACGATTTTCGCTTAGCCTTGCAACTACAGCAGGCGGAAA